CCGAATGGAAGGACGGTGTATTGATAACCCTGACCGTCGAAGGCGAATCTCAAGAATGGCCTGTGACGGGGATTTATCTGAATCTGAAAATAGGCATCTTTCAGATCGAGAGACATAAACCAGTCCCCCTGGCGCACGTGCGGGAGGAGTTTCCTGACTGTAAGCATTTTGAACGGTCTTTTCACAAGCGCCCTGTTCAAAAATCTGAGATCCAAAATCGGTCTGAGGCCGCCGTCTTTCTTGGGAACAAGAAAATAACGGCTGTAAAACCCCGACTCGCTCAGAGAAGGCGGCACTCTCTCTATGGCCCTTTTGCACAGAAGGTTTGCTATTTCTGGGCAAAGGTGCGCTGCGACCGAATCCTCGACTGGAGGGATGGAAGAATAGCCCTTCTCGGCGGCGCCATCCACCGAAGAGAGAGAGGCGGAGGCATGGGAGCGGGTCCTGGCCGATAGAGGCGCGCTCCACGACTTAGTGAGCTCGGCGTGGAGTTCCGGCAGGAAGGGCGCGGCGGCGGCTCTGTAGAAAGCAGCCGTCGAGTCTGTTGGGGGCCTGCTCAGGGGGCGGTGACCACTCGAGCCCGAGGCGGTCGACGGCCTGTGTGAGGAGGCGCATTAATTCCTCTTCGACTCCGGCGCGGGTCCTGCTGGATTCGTGGGCCGAGGAGGAGGCGAAGGAGCCTGACCACTCCTCGCTGTCCGAAGCCATGACTGAACAGCAGTCCTTTACCTCTGCCTCGTCATCCGAAATGGCAGCAGTGCGGCCGCTCGGCGGCAACTGCGCGTGCGGGGAGGGCGGGGGGGGTGAAAGCGAGGCTCGAGGGAGAGGCTCCGGCGAGACAGTCGCTTCCAGCACCGGTTCCGGCGGCCTTTGGGAGCGGCGCTTCTTCTTGCGCGGCGAGACGAAAGGCGGCGCTGCGGCTTCGGTTTTGAATGCTTCGAGTCGAGCCCGCAGGGTCGACATCGGAAGCTCCTCGCAGAGGTCGTATCCGCCGTCAGCGAGAGCGAGCTCGAGTCCCAGGCAGAGAGCGCAGATGAGGTGGCGGTCTCCGGCGCTGAGACGGGCGCGGCATGAACCGCAGGTGGTGCGAGGCATCTTTACAAAGACGCTCGTGCTCTTTTGTGATAGTTCACTGAGGAACTAGCTAGCTCTGAAAAAGGATACGTCACCGGATGGCGTAGCTTGCCGGATGGCTGAAGGTGGCGAAGACGGCCGGCTTCTTCAGGCGCTGTCCAAGCTCGCTAAAATGCCCCTCAGACGGCGACGTGGCTTCTGTGGATCAGATGCGAAGAGCTTCGCTGAAGAGATGAAAATCAGGGATGCAGCCTTCGGACCTCGCTAATATACACTCTAGCCACGCCCAGTTTGGCGGGCTGTGACGTGATGAAGGCGAGCGCCTCTCATTGGACGCGAGTTCATTCTGTCCGTCCATAGGCTGCAGCAGTTGCCGCAGGGCGACCAATGAGCTCGCTAGCTAGCCCGCTCAAGGTCTGCAGCTGCTGCACTGCGTTGACAATGGATACAAAATTAAGGATAATTTTTGGCTTCAATATTTCAGAAAAGATGAATCTTTCCCGTAGCGTAAGCTAGCTTACGCAATACGAGAGAACCTCTCGTAAGAGAACGTGGAATCGTGTGCAAGTTGTATCCAATTTAATGTTTTTTATGACTGACACAAACTATTTTGAATTGGTTACATTAGAGTCACAAGATCCATTAAAAAAGGTCAGTTTTGGTGCCCGTATCAGGCCAGGTATCGGATTTGTGTATCCCTGTAATGGAGAGCTAAACATCTCATTTGTTTATCTGTGTATCGAGTCAGCCACAAAGTAAGAGCTTTCATGAACTTCTAACCTCCTGAAAGATGCACTTGAAGGGTTCATCAACAAAACTGCCTGGCATGCTCTCCTCCAGCTCAACTCATCAGTCCAGTGAATTTTTTCTCTCTCTCCTCTCTTTCTAGTGTATGGAGACTCCCAATTGGCTGTATTGGTTAAATATGCATGAAGCATGACCCTATACCATTCTTCCACCTCTACTGAAGCTGCACATTTTGTAGTATCATTCAGGTCAATAGCATGAAGCAAGCACCACTAAGGATAACAACTGAAATTTCTCTCTTAAATTCTCTTTCTGATGTTGCTTTACTGTATTTTCGTGTCTTACAAGGGAGGGAAAAAACTATGGTCAGTGCATCGGACACAGATGTTAAAATGTCAAACCAGCCTTAAACTTTTCGGTAGAATTTGTGCTTTGGCAGCATCATAATCTTCTTGGTGTCACAAAACTTATGCCTGTTTCTAAAAATAACAGGCTTTTGTTCTGTGGTTGTGCTTCTGATCCGCACCTTTGTGAATCATACTGTCGTGATCTGTTGAGTGCAAGTCATTTGGTCTCTCAGCGAAAGTGTTTCCTCTGCATCCTTCTTTCTCCCTCTCTGGAGGTATGGATAGGTGTGATTCTATAGCGTGGAAGAGGAGAAACATTTACCTCTGTGTCGAGCATGTGGATGTAGAAAGTCTTTTTCAATAAGTAAAGCACTTTCAAAAATCGTAATCGTAATCAGAATAGTCAACATTAATCTCTTGGTTTGACAGGTGGTTTGAGATTAAGTAGTTTGCTACGCATACATTTTTTTTGTTTTGTTTTTTGATCTGGGATTTTTAAATGCCAGATTTGGGGAAATAAAGAAGACCTTGACTCTTTCTCAGGGCAGTGGGGTCACACCAAATCAACAAGTTTTGCTCTGAAGAGCTTGTGTTGTCCTGCTGCATTAGTTATGGGGAAATGGAAGAGAAGGTCAGGGAGTAAATATCAGAATTGGAGTGCACCCACAGACTGAATACTAAAGCAGGATGCTATGAGCACAGTAATGGGCTTTTCTTGCTCGTTTTAACGCTGTTAATGCTTTACCTTACAATAGTAATTGATTCTGGGTAATCAGGTTTTAAGATTTCAAACTGCACATTTTGAAATCAACATGAGGCAATAACCTTAGGTTATTGTTCTGATTTGCATAATTACAAGCTGAGTTACTTTGATTTCACAAGTGCAGCATGTGACAAACAAAATGTGATAGATTTTAATAAGGAAAAATTGGATCTCTTTTATTATCTAGATTAGACTGCAATGCAAATGGTGACTTTTCCTTAATTCTCAGATTTTTGTGTTTTGAAAGAAGCCTCTAGAGCTCACCAAGGCTGCATTTATTTGATTAAAAATACAGGAAAAACAATAATACATTATTACACTGTAAAATAACTGTTCTATTTTAATATATTTTAAAATGTAATTTATTCCTGTGATGGCTAAGCTTAATTTCATCATTGTCACATTATGCTTCAAAAATCATTCTAATATGCTGATTTGCTGCTTAATATTTTTGTGAAAATCGTGTTTTTCATGAATAGAAAGTTCGAAATAAAAAATATTTTAAATAAGTTTTTATATATCAATTTTATGTGTCTTTGTTGAATAAAAGATTGAATTTCTTCTAAAAAAAATCAAACTGACCCCAAACCTTTGAATGGTAGTTCCTATAATATGCAAGGGATTTCAGTAGAAGCACCTGAGAAAAAGCTGAAATGTAACTTGAAGTCTCCTGAGCTAAGAAAGGATATCCTTTGAGCAACACATTTTTCCTTTGGGCTTGAAATGTTACCACGTAAAGCCACCCTGGTTGTTAAAAACAAGACAAAAAACGAGGAAAACTGAGGAGAATCTGGCATTTTGGCCCTTTTGACTCTTTCAGATGTTAACACTGAAAAGTGTTTCTACAACTGTGAGATGCGTATAAATATTTCATGAGGCAAGCCTTGAGGTGAAACAGAAGGGACTGAACCCCTTTCAAAATTACAAGTGTAAAACATTGCTTAACCCAGGGTTACTTTCACATCTCTTGCCCGCACTTTCATGTCATGTCCAATGTATCAACGGAAGAAACCCACAACAGGAAATTTCCATTAGCCACTTCCTGAAGCCAATCAGCAGGCTAATTTCTTTCAGCCAGACCCTTCCATACTGGACAATGTTCAGAAAAGCCGTGTTTTAGTGTCATTTTATCTCTCATTGAAACTAGGCCAATAATACATTCTGAACGCACGCAAATGCAGTTTACCTTCACTTAAAGTTATTTAAACACCCACAAAATCTGACGTGATCATCTAGTGTGTGTGTGTGTGTGTGCAGTCTATCCAGGACATAAAAATTGTGACATTTTATTTGAATGATCTTCTACTGTAAAACCACCATCCACAGTCACGATGAGAAAGTGCTTTATACATAAATCACGCATGCCGACTCTCAATTTCTCCTCTTTATAGTCAGGGGAGATGAGTCATGCATTCTTCCTACTCACCACGTATACACTCTCTCCTTCCTGTCATTTATTGCAGAGTTTTTTTTATTTTTTTTTAGCTTTGAGTGTTTGATGGCACTAATGAGGATACTTGTTAGAGAATATATATTCATAAGCTATGGAAGGAAATTTATGACAAATGTATTTGAAACAACAACGCTTATTGAATTGCACTAAATGAAAAAAAATATTCATTGCATTAACTGTGTTTGCATTTAAAAATTTGCTTGCTCGAATTTGTAAAGTGAAAAAAAATGGATCGAAAATTACCTCCGAATTTTTTATAATGAAAATATGTGTGAAATGTTTTTAATTGAAATATTCACAGCTTAAATATACGACCATGTTGAATTTCAGCCCATAAAAATGCAAGCCCTAAAAATACACTGCATTAAAATGCAAGCACGGTTAATGCAATGCATATTTTTTTTAATTAGTGCACTTCAACAAGCTTTTTTGTTTCTAATACATTTGTCATCATTATTTTACTTCCATATAAGACCTGCATCGTTTGACAGATTCACAAATAATGGGAACATCCACAATGTGTTAAAAAAGCTGTACAATGTTTGCAATAATTCATCATGCTGTATCCATTCACCTGACTCAATCAGCCTCTGCTGTGTCTTCATGTCCAACACAGGTCAAGCAGATCATGGAGGAAGCAGTCACAAGGAAGTTTGTTCATGAAGACAGCAGCCATATTGTCTCATTCTGTGGTAAGTCAAAGATCATTGAACCATTTCCCCAGTTCCCTACTCATGTATTTGTGTATTTAAAAGCATTGCAGCCCAAAGAGTTTTTTTTGCTCAAAGTTTGTCTTTTCATTTTACAAACAGCACCATCTACACTGCAAGATTACCTGGTGCAGATATTCTCGTTTAGAAAGTTTATATCCACTGCCTTTTGTACTCAGAATAAAAAGGTCTAAACAATACACAAAAGATTTCATCAAAAATATCCTTGAAAAGCTCTAAAATAAAAGCATTTTTATAAACCTATATGTTTAAATGTAATCGAAATAAAAAAAATCGAGTTTTCAAACATAGGGTTGACAGTACTAAGTGAAAGTATAAACTATGCTTTAGTTACTGGTTCTTGGTTATTAGAAAACATAATGCAGTTCTTAGTTATGGTTAATTTACATGTCAACTTGGTCTCAAATTAAATCTAAAAAAAGAAAGAAATCTACATTCTTTACCTCCATTAATAGAGCTATAATATTAATGTGGATAGCATAAGATTATTTGGTCCTTGAAAAACTTGATGAGAAATGTTTGAGTTCATTGAAATATATACTATACCGTTGAAAACTTTGGGGTCAGTAAGACTGTCTTTTGTGTTTTTTAAAGAAGAGTGCATTTATTTAATAAAAAATACTGTTAAGACATTAATATTGTGAAAGATTATTACAATTTCAAATAACTGTTTTCTATTTTAAAATGCAATTTATTCCTGTGATGGACAAAGCAGAATTTTCCAGTCTTCAGTGTCTCATGATCCTTCAGAAATCCTACTAATATGCTGATTTCTTGCTGAATGAAAGAATTGCTGAATTTTATTATTGCATTTCATATTGTTTTTTTTCCCTGCTGATCTGTGAACCTGTGAAATATCAGTTTTTCTGTGTGTTTGCAGATTCTGGTGTCTTTACAAATCTGAGTTTGTAACATTGTTGAGATGTTTTATGAGACTAAGATGCATGTTAGATTATTGGGGTTTTCTCCAAAAATGTCTATCCATTTACTCTCCATTTAATCTTACGTTCAATCATTTCAAGGAGAAACAGTTGAGATGTTAAAGGGGTCATGAATTGAGAAATCAAATTTTCCTTGATCTTTTGTCATGTAAGAGGTCATTGTACTATAAAAACTTCCTATAAGTTTCAGAACTCAAATCTTGCTTGTTAGTCCAACAATAGCTTTTATTGAATCCAAGCTCTGAAAATAACTCGTATCGGATTCTTTCACATTATGCCATAATAGTGTGACGAAAGACCTCCTTTGCAGAATCAGAGCAATGCCTACTTCTACATCATCGCATCTTTGTCCCAGCCCACTGGCATGTTTGTGAGATGAGAAGGAGAGATCCAAAGGATCCTAATTTCCCGCTAGGAAAGTGGTTATTTATTTTCAACTAGCTATGTGAATGTCTCAGTAGAGCATTATTTGTTTGTTCGGTACATTTCACTGTGAGTTCTTTGGTAAATCAGTCGCAATTTCAGCACAGCCTTTGCAAAAATACTTTTACTGTAAGATATGAACCGTACAGTAATCCCACAACATGTAAGTAAAGGTGTTAATTCTAACTGTACGTTCACACCGCCGCCGACTTGAGCGTCAAAGAAGCTCTGGCCGCCCTGTCAAGGACGCTTGTCAAAAAGTACGGGGAAGCTTGTTGACGCTTTGGACGCTTTGAACGCTCTGACGTTGCAGGAAGAATAGAAGTGTCACAACATGAAATGTAATAAACAGAAAAAAAAACAAGCAATACATTGAAGAAACCTTTTATAATGACAGCATTTTTATAACCGTTTTGGTCACATTTGTTTGGGAAAAAAAGAATAGCTAGCTATTATTATTATTATTTGCGTCAAATCGGTGTCATCGTGAGCAAATGAATTGCATTCCCGCTTTAAAACTAGCGTTCGTAAATATTTCAAATAAAAGTTGCGCTCATGCGGTCCCCATAAGCAAACAACGTCATGTCATAAATGATAGGAAACCTGTAGGAAACCCAGCAACGGCGATTATTAGCATCTCTTCCATTTTCTCGGAACTAATGTTTTGGTAGGAACGAAAGTTTACATTGTATGTTTCTCCGGAATCAGCCAGCGCGAAGGACGTCTATATTCCGATTGGTTGCTGGCGTTTTGCCGCTGCTTGCCGCTGGCGATATTTTTTTTCACAGGATGGTAGCGGAAGACTCATGAATATTCATTAGGGAACTCATCCCTGATTGGTCTTAACCCCAGTGACTGGTAGGTTTAGGGGCGGGGTTAGGGGGTAGGTCATCAGACCAATCAGGGATGAGTTCCCTAATGAATATTCATGAGTCTTCCCCTACCATCCTGTGAAAAAAAATATCGCTTGCCGCTGAACCGCGTCACAGCTCATTACCATAAAGTTCTTTCAACTTTCTGATTGACGCTCAAAATGCCCAAAACGCAGATGGATTTGACGCTCCTTGCAGCTGAGAAAAGCTAGCTTCCATTGAAAATGAATGACTTCCGGCCGCTTTGGAAGCTCAAGTCGGCGGCGGTGTGAACGTACAGTAATGCAGAATCTGTGATAAGTGATTTCTGATATGTAATGTTTAATGTACTCTCAGACGTTCTTTGTCTCATAATTGTTTATTGCGGTTTATGTGTCAGTAAATTAAGCCAGTGACTAAATGATCAACTTCACATTGTTTCTCTTAGTAGCATGAAAATAATCTGTTATTTAAATTGATTAAATTATATACAGAAAGCGATCAAAGGCTCCATTTATAATCGCTGGATCTGTCAATTACACAGCGCAAGTTTATCAGTGACTGAGTTTTGAACTCTCACCAAAACTCCCGTTATGATCAATGACGTTGTCTACACTACACAACAAATCTTTTATTTGCATTGTGTTTTCAGTTATGATGGAAGCATTCGTGAGAGTGCAGAAATCGAGTTGCAATGACGAGATCACTGTATTCATGCGCTCAACAGACTGTCTGTCATCGGCTACAATGCTTGTCACTGATTTCATGCAACGGGAGTAGATCTAAATACTAAATATAGTGCTACAATCAACACTTTTCATGATTAGTTAATTTTGACAGCTGTAATAGTAAAAAGTTAAATCTTAGTAAAAGATTTCAAGAGTTCCACATGTAATACTTATTTCATATGCAAAGATATTAGCCAATCATACTCAGGGTAGAAAATGGCCTTTTATTTCTAAATTATGACCACTTTTTATGAACAAATCATACTAACATTATAAGTGATAACAAAATGCAGTTCATGACCACTTTAAAGAGATGTAATTTTTCATTTCCATGGGAGACTCTGGGGATCAGTTGTGTTTCAGAACTCGGACATGGTTTGGCTAATTCCCAGGTAGAACATTCGACATTTAACTGGCCTTGGAAAGCGCCAAAGTGCATTAATGTCAGAGTAGGAGTAAAAGGAGAAGTGTCATGTTTATTGAGTGTAGATTAACATAGAGGGATAATTTCAACATATATAGACCAGTAAGTGAATGTGTGATCGAGCATGCTGCAGTAAGTGCTACCCACTGTTTGTGAGCAGTAAATCTGTCCACATAATAAAGTTATCACTCTTCCACACACACTGACACACACCTTCTCCGTTGCTGTGCAAATTCACATCAAGGTACCATAACATGATGTTTAATGATCGAGCGGTGCGTAAACAGAATAAATGAGTAGTCATTAATAATGCAGTTTCTGGTCATATTCACCTTGTTGGGTGAAGGCTGTATTGTCCTGTCCAGCTTTATTCACATTTGCATTTGACATTTTCTAAACCGCTTTTATTTCTCGTGGTTAGGGAGGTGGCTGCAGGGCACAAGCCACTGCCTTTTTGTCCTCAAGGGTCGAGGTTAGTGTTGGGCGATATGCTCCATAGTCATATAATCGTCCTATCGTCAGCCTGTGAGGAGGAGGGGGAGGGGGGATCTTTTTCTATCATTCTGCGAGCAAAGATGGAGTTGGTGATGAAGAAAAATGTCACATTGCATAGAAATATTTCACTCAAAATGCGATTTCCCGTCGATAACACATGCAATTGCAAACTTTGCACAAGAGTTACGCAGTAAAGGAGTCTCAGACCACACAGTCAATTATTCCCTGAAGGTGAAGGCAAAAACTGAGCGAGCTTTTGGCATCTGACGCTGCACAGCACATTAATTCTCTGACACAACGAGAGCGGAATCTACCTCAGTGCTGATAACTGATAATCTTAATTTACTGGCTTAATATTTCTTTTGTGGACCATACATTAATGACAGTGAAAAAAATGAGAAGAATGTTTCTTTCTTGTTAAATGTTAAAAAAGATTAATTTTAAAGTCATTGTTTGAAGCTGCATTTGACCTTCATCGATGTCTAAATATTGTGCTGTGTTCGGACCTTAAGACTGTTAGGCCTATATAATAATATTATTATTAATAATGATAATTTGTAATTGTATTGTTATTCGTGTCATTAAAATGTTTTGTTAATGTGCTATGGAAACAAAACCAAATGTTCGCTGGCGAACAACGATGCCGTGCTGAGTCCGTGCTGCTGAAACATTTTGTAATTATTCTGCTGCTTTCCATTTCTCGCTCTCACCAGGCATCTAGTGAATCCGTGCTCTCCCGTAATTCTAGCGTGTCAACATTCATTTTACATTCCAGTAAACTGTGAATTGTTTTGTTGTTAGTGTTTTAATCCTTTTCTGCAGATTATTGAGCTTGAATTGACTAGCAGAGTGACCAGTGCTGGACAATTAATATTAATGCAGTCACGATTTCTTCTTTTCACCTTTAAGTAATTGTCTTCGGTTAAAGTCATGATTTGTCTAAACTCGGGCAAGGGTAATTTTTGCCGCAAGGCCCACGCTGAACTCAGAAGACTGCGATGCAAAAATCTTTTTTGCATTTCAAAATACTGAAGTGAAATAATCACACACTGCTTAGATGTCTATTAGGCTTGATGCAGATTAAACAAGCAGTGATGGG